GGTAAAGCACTTGCCTAGCACATGCAAGGCACTGGGTTTGATCCTCAGCACCACACAAAAATAAACAAATAAAATAAAGGTGTGCTCAACTATAATTAAAAAAATATTTTTAAAAAAAAGGGGCTGAGTGCTTCACCTATCCATGGGAGGTGAAGAAAAATGTAAGAAAATAAAAATTACCTCTAATTCTGTCTAGAAACACCTTAATTTTTTCCATAGAAAGTATTAAATTTAGTATTACATTTATAGAAGTAAAACAGGGAGTTGCTGGATTTTGAATGAATTTTTTTTCAGAAGAAAAAAATTAATTTTCTTTTTTTTTTTTTTTGGTGTGTGTGTGTGTGTGTGTGTCTTTCTGTCTGTTTTGCTGGGGATTGAACCCAGGGCCTTGTGCTGCATGTGAGGCAAGCACTCTACTAACCGAGCTGTATCCCCAGCCCAAGAAAATAAATACTGATTTCTAAAAGATTCCTCTTAAGGTCAAGGGAGAAAGAAGCATTAAGAAAACTGAAAGTTAACCTAGCTAAGCTTGGTGGCATATTCCTATAATCCTAGCAACTTGGGAGGCTGAAGCAGGAGATCACAAGTTCAAGGCCAGCCTCAGCAACTTAATGAGAGAAAACCTTTACTAAAGTGTAGCAAATGTTGAAAAAGGGCACAGGCTATAGGTGTATAGCTTGATGCATTCCACAAATTGAACATGGCCACGTACATAATCAGTGTGTGAATTGATAAACATCACCACACCCCAGATGTTCCCTCATGCCCTTTCTGCTTCGGATCATCACCATCTTGATTCTGAAAGTGTAGATTTGACTCCTCCTTTTCTTTGGTGGTTCTTAGGGATTGAACCCAGAGCCTTGTGCATGCTAGGCAAGCCCTCTACCAACTGAGCTGTATTCATAGCCCCTAAATTTGACTCTTATTTAACTTAATTGTCTTAGAAGAAGAATATCAGGAGTGTTCCCACCTTTCTTATTATGGAGGTTGGGAATGTGGGAACTGGACATGGCACCCTGGCTTTCTCGGTTGGGTAGACTTGGGCTCTTGGTCCTTTGGGATCCCTTTTTAAAGGATGTGACTGTCCACCCAGGTGTAGGGGAGGCTCTGGGGAAAGCCCTGTGAATGTTCACCCTGTGCTTCCCTCTGGCCGTGGCAGGAATGCCTGACTCGTCTGCTGTCCCCCTGTGGCACTGTCCAGTCTGTGGAGTTGCAGGAGAAGCCGGACCTTGCTGAGAGCGCAAAGGAACCCAAGTCGAAGTTTTTTCACCCTACGCCCATTCCGGTAGGCCTTCAAGTTCCAGGTTCCACTGGAATGGCAGCACAAGGCGGGGTGGGGGCAATTAGTGTCCCTTGTGTAGGGGATGGTGGTGTGTATGTAGGTGCAGAGGTTGGCAGTGGGACTCTGAGAGCATGTCCTGTAGTCCTACAGTAGACATTCCCAACCTCCATAGTTCCAGTTGGTCTAGGAGCCAGCTGTGCAACATCTTTGGACTTCCTGCCTGGTGGTTTCCATTCTCCATGTTAGAGCTTTGGGACCATCTCTGCACTCTCCTGCAGGCCCCCTGGGCTCCCTGCTTGCTTCTCCCTGAGGTAGAGTCCTCCTCAGGCCAGGGTTTGGTCTCCAGGAGCACTATGCCTTCCATGTTTTCCCAAGTGCCTGGACCTGATGCCTTCTCCCAGCACAGGAGAGTCTGACCGGTTGAGTGCCCTGTCCTCTCCTCTCTGGGCCTGGTTTCCACGAGCCTGCCCTAAGGTTGAACCCACTTTTCACTGACTCCTTCCTGAAACTGGAAGAAATGTCCCGTGTATCCCCTGTCCTTGGGGGAAGAGCTGGGAATGAGTCTCCCTTCCAGCAGCAGTTGGGTAACTGAGTGTGACTGTCCCCCACCTAAACTCTTCCCTGGCCCAGCAGCAGGTTAGGTGAGGGCAGGTGTGGGTAGGGCTCCCCCACTTGGACCTCTCTCTTCCCCCAGGGATTCCAGGTAGCCTACGTGGTGTTCCAGAAGCCAAGTGGAGTGTCGGCTGCCTTGACCCTGAAGGGCCCTTTGCTGGTCTCTACGGAGAGTCACCCTGTGAAGAGTGGCATTCATAGTCAGTGCTATAGCACCTCCTTTCTGGGCCCAGGGTTGGTGAGGGAAGCTTTCTGGGAGCAGCCTCTGGGTGCCACGAGCCATAGCCAGCTCCCTGGGGGCAGTGCGAGGGAGACGCAGGCAGACAGGGCTAGTTGGGGTGCGTCAGGAGATGCTAGCCTGGAACTTCAGCACCAGGTGGACAAAGGTGGAGACCCAGCCTGTTGCCACTAGAATCTCAGCACTTGCCCACTGGGCCACAGGTCTTGAGGCCTTGCAGCCTGTGTCAGAAAGTCCTGACACCCGGCAGGCCTGAGGCAGCTGCTCTCCTTGTCTCCCCATCCCCCAGAGTGGATCAGTGACTATGCAGATTCAGTGACTGACCCTGAGGCCTTGAGAGTTGAGGTGGACACATTCATGGAGGCCTACGATCAGAAGATTGCTGCGGTAAAGGGACACTGCCTCCCTGTGGGAGGGTGGGGCTGCAAGTATGTGATGTGACTCCCACGGGGGACAACCTGTCCTTGGTCACCATATGAGTCCAGGCTTTCTCTACTGAATCTTTGGTTACTTGGCTGGATGACGTTGAATATAGATGGTCTGTAGGGGGGTGGGGGAGGAGCAGCATTGGCACCTGGGTGCCCTATCCCCATACTCAGCCTGTGCCCTGCACCATGGGGCTGAGTGCTAGCAGGACCTGCCAGGGCGGGTCTGACTGCTGGAGGAGGATGGGAGGTTCTGTCCCTTGAGGCTTTGGAGGGGTCAGGAGCACTGTCCTGCAGAGGAGTCCTGCCATGGGTCAGCAGGGTGCCATTCCTTGCAGGAGGAGGAGAAGGCCAAGGAGGAGGAGGGAGTCCCTGATGAGGAGGGCTGGGTGAAGGTGACCCGCCGGGGTCGGCGGCCTGTGCTTCCACGAACTGAGGCAGCCAGCCTGCGGGTGCTGGAGAAGGAGAAACGGAAGCGTGCGCGCAAGGAGCTGCTCAACTTCTATGCCTGGCAGCATCGGGAGACCAAGATGGAGCGTAAGGGCCTCCTCCAAGGCAGGGGATGGCCTTGGGGGTTGGGATGGGAGTGCATCCTTGGACATGCGCTCTGGGCTTAGAGTTCCAGCCTGGCAGCACTCTCCTGCTTCCCAGGGGCAGC